TGATGTGGGTTTAGGTCTTAGCAACACAACTGTGGGCTTGCTCCATGTTCAAGTTCCAGAAAACTGCTACTGGACTCAGCCAGGGTCAGCCAGGTGGATGGCTTTCCAGGTCCAGGGTAGCAGAAATGTAGGTTCCCTTTGGACCGGGCTGTCTGCCCTGCTTATTCTGCTGCAGGCTCTAGATTTGGTTGTATGTGGAAACCTTGGTCTGCTCTGCTTCTGAGCTGTTGCTTGCTCAGTACACAGCTCCTCCCCAGGACCACTTCCCCTATGTGCAGTTCCCCTCATCTGTCTACTTGGTTGCCCACTGACACCTGTTCTAGCCTCTCAGTGCAGGTCTGGCACTCTTCCCTTGCAGCCTCACTCCTAGCCTACTGTACCAGCCTGCTGGTTGTTCTCCCGGCTTCAGGTCTCCCCACTACAGAGGATCTGCTGCTCTGACCATCTCAATGTCCTTGCGGGCCCCCCCCCCAAGTGGCTCCCTATTACCTCCAGGGTCAACCTGGCTGTTTCCAGTCATTTTACATTCCACTCCCCCTTTATGTGCTCCACCATCCTGTGACATCGGCTTTCTGGCTGGTCCTTGAACAAGACACTTCATCTCCCAACCGCAGCATTTTCTCTGGCTGTGCCCCCTGCCCGGAATGCAGCCCTCCTCACCTCCACCTCCCCGCTCCCTTTCAGTCCCGGCTCAAATCCCACCTTCTACCTAGAGGAAGCCTTCTGTAGCTTCTCTCCAGCTTATCCTGCACAGGCTCGCAGGCAGGGGCTGTTTTGGCCTTTCTGTATGCCCGGCGGAGGCACACGGGAGGAGTTATGGAGGTCACTCAGGCCCTGCGCTGACCTGCTGCCCGACAATCCCGGCTGGAGCCCCAAGCCAGCTCCCGACGGAGGGTGTCCCGACGGATGCTCGGCTGAGCCGCCTCCCACTGCCCTACTCTCATCCTCTCCTTGAGCAAACACGGAGAGAGTCGGGCCAGCGCCGGCGCTTCGAGGTGACAGGGCACCACCTCATCCCACCCTGGCTCTTCAATGGTGCCCATCTTAACTAGCTGATAATAAGGAGCAACACCAACCCTTCCTGGGTGCTGCGGCAAACCTTCACGAGCCCCACGTGATCCTCACCATAGCCCTGGGAAGCAGGGGCTCTTAGGATCGCCATTTGGGGTCTGGCGCTTTACTCCCAGCCGCCAGCTGCGGCGGACATACATCTACAGAGCTGCCGGACAGTCATGGAACACCCCTGGCTCCCTATTGCCCCCAAGTCACTGCTCCTCTGCAGCCCGCCTCCTTCTTAGGTTTCAGCTTCCTCCATGCGTTCTGCAGACTGGCCAAACTGGCCTACAGCTGTTCCGCAAGACGCTCCATCATTGGTTGCCCAGCCTTTGCCCAGGCAGTCCCCTCTGCCTGGAATGCTCTCCCTTCTCACCTCCCAGCCAATGCCTAGAAGGCCGCACAGGCCACTGATCGGGTTGGAACCCGGGGAGCAGGAGCTTCAGCCAATAGGAAACTAGATTTTGACGGCCACCCAATTGCTCCAACGAGGGAGTAGGGCTGGCTCCAAGACATGATGAACAGGAGGCTCAGCCAATGGTCAGAGAGCGTGGACTGGGAAGCCGGATGCGGACTACTAGGGAGGGTGGGCGGAGACGAGGGACGTCCCCGTGAGCGCGCGCGCGCGCGATGGGGCGGGACCGAGGTGCGCGCCCCCGCCCGCCGCGCCCCCGCCCGCCGCGCGCGCCCGCGCCCCGGGCCGCCAGGAGCCCATGCGCGGAGTGAGCCGCCCGGCCCGGCCCCAGCCCCAGCCCCGGAGCCCCCCGAGCCCCCTCCGGAGCCCCCGGCCCGGAGCCCCCGGCCCGGGGGGGCAGCAGTGGCGGAGCAGAAGGAGACGGCGAAAGAAGCAGTGAGCCCGGTGAGCCTGGGAGGGAGGCCCGGCGAGCGGAGCGGAGCGGAGGGCAGAGGGGAGGGGGCGACGGGGAGGGGGGTGGGGAGTATGTGCGCGGGAGGGAGGGAGTGTGTGTAGGGCATATTGGGGTGTGGGGGGGCGGTGCCCCCTCCACTGGGGGGGATGGGGGGCCTCGAGCCGCCCAAGGCGCGCGCCGTGGCCGTGGCTGTGGCTGTGGCCTTGGCTTTCCCCTTCTGGGGCAGGGGCAGGGGCAGGGTGCGGCCCGGTTGTGGGGGGGGGCGGGAGGGGGGGGCGCGGCAGCCTGCAAACTTGCATGTCATCAGGACGAGAGGGCTGGGGGGGGTCGTTCTGGGGCGTGTCCGTGTCTGGGGGTTTGCTGGGGGGGGGCCTGGGCCGGGCTCGGGGAGGGGCTGCTGGGGGCGGGGCCCCCACCAGGTCAGGCTCCTGCACCTAGGGCCTGGGTAGGCCTGGGGGGCGGGGGCGGCACTGGAGGTCCCCGAGACAGCGAGGCTTCCCCCGCAGGAGCTGCCGGAGCCCGGCCACCATGACCGAATACAAGCTGGTGGTCGTGGGCGCGGGGGGCGTGGGCAAGAGCGCGCTCACCATCCAGCTTATTCAGAATCACTTCGTGGATGAGTACGACCCCACGATCGAGGTGAGCGCAGTATGGGCCCCCGCCCGAGCTCTCCCCCTGGGACACCCTCCCCAGAACCCAGGACCCTGGACGGGGACCCCCACATGCCCCAGGACCCTGGACGGCGCCTCCCACATGCCCCAGGATCTAGATGGTGACCCCCTACACCTCAGGACCCTGGACGGCGCCTCCCACATGCCTCAGGACCCTGGACGGCGCCTCCTACCTGTCCCAGGACCCTGGATGGTACCCCCCTACACCTCAGGACCCTGGATGGCGCCCCCACACATATCTCAGGACCCTGGACGGCACCCCCCACCCCAGGACCCTGGATGGTTCTTCTCTACATTCCCCAGGACCTAGATGATGCTCCCCTGTACCTTAGGACCCTGGATGGCGCTCCTACACATATCCCAGGACCGTGGGCGCCTCCTAACACACATATCCCAGGACCGTGGGCGCCTCCTAACACACATACCTCCAGGACCCTGCACTGTGCATACACACATACTCACACACACACACATCCCAGGACCCTGGATGCCATTCTCCCACCCCCACATACCCTAGGAGCCTGGACAGCACCCTACCTGCACCCCAGGACCCTGGACTATGACCTCCTCTCCCCCCCACCCCATACCTTTCAGAGACGCTCCCATCACCAGAACCAGGCTCCCAGCAGCTTTCCCCAGGAGATCCCTCCCTAGCAGGGAAGCCGCTAGGTCTTCAGGACTCTTGGGTCTCCTGCCTTGACTCCCCCCTCTCCTCTCTCCAGGACTCATACAGGAAGCAGGTGGTCATTGATGGGGAGACCTGTCTGCTGGACATCTTGGACACTGCAGGCCAGGAGGAGTACAGCGCCATGAGGGACCAGTACATGCGCACCGGGGAGGGTTTCCTCTGTGTATTCGCCATTAACAACACCAAGTCCTTCGAGGACATTCACCAGTACAGGTGAGCCCCCCAGCCCGGCTCTGCTCAGCCTGGCTCTGCCCTGCCCGGCCCACTAGCCAGCACCTGCTTCTTTCCTCCTGTGCAGGGAACAGATTAAGCGAGTGAAGGACTCTGACGATGTCCCCATGGTGTTGGTGGGGAACAAATGTGACCTACCAGCCCGGACAGTGGAGACACGCCAGGCCCAGGAGTTGGCCCGAAGCTACGGTATCCCCTACATTGAGACATCCGCCAAAACTCGCCAGGTGAGGGCTTTCTGCCTCCTGGCCCACCTGCCTGCGGGGGCTGGGCACAGGCAGACACTTCCCAGGAGTATGGAGAGACACCCCCCCCAACCCAAAAGCCTGGCCCAGGGTCCCAAGGCCACAGGCTGCCCTGGGAGTCTGGGTAGAGAAGAGGTGAGCTCCTATCTGATGGGAAGCTGGATGCGAGGTAAAGCTAGCTCTGGATTGAACCTGGATCACTGGGAGATCTGGGTCCAGGTGAACCCTGATCTGACATGAGCCCATGTGCAAGGTGACCCTGGGTGGGAAAGGAGCTGGAGTCCTGGATGAGGTCAGTGGCAGGGGAGCCCAAGGCCAGGATCCCGGCTGAGCCGCCCTGCGCCCCCCCCCCCCCCGCAGGGAGTAGAGGATGCTTTCTACACACTGGTGCGGGAAATCCGGCAGCACAAACTGCGGAAGCTGAACCCCCCGGACGAGAGCGGTCCGGGATGTCTGAACTGCAAGTGTGTGATCTCCTGACCGCGGGGTTGAGGTGAGGCCTGGGAGGGTGGGGGCGGGGCAGGGCTTACAGCAGGGACCCTCCCCCTCTTTTCCTTTCCCAACACCACCTCTCTCCGCTGGCCCGGGCCTGACTTTGCCTTCTGGTCCCTGCCCAGGCTGGGGATTCGGAGGTGCAGGACCCGAGTGAGGGAGGGAGGAGCCAATGGACGGAGGGACGGATGGAGCATGGTGGACGGACAGTCAGTTGGAAGGAAGGAAGGAAGACAGCGGCAGCCCTTTGGCGCTGCTGCTGCTGCTGCTGCTGCTGCTGCTGCTGCTGCTGTTGCTGTTACTGGAGTTCCTGGTCCTGCTGGGAGGGCCAGACAGGGCGCCTCTGATCCCCCCCTCCCCCCCCCCGCAGGCTTTTTGCACGGACTGTCTCCAACTCCTCGGCCCCAAACTGCTTCCTCTGCCTCCCCTGCCCCTCTGCCCGACCCACCGGGCTCATTTCAGTAAATTATTGGATGGTCTTGACCTTGGTGTGGCTGTGGGGGGGTGAGGGTGGGGTAAAGAAACCACTTGAAGCATGCAACCCACCCCTTGACCCTCTGGCCCAGCCAGGCCAACGGGAGGGGGCGCCGTACCCCTGGCTTTTGCCTGGAGAGCCTGGCCCACTGCTCTGGGCCAGGCTCTGAGCTCAGGGGTCCCTTGAGGGCTGGCCCCAAGCAGGGCAGGGCCAGGGCTACCCTCTGCTGCCCCCGGGGGAGGCTTCAGGAATAAGTAACACCACCGAGTCAGAGGGTCCTTGGTGTAGACGCCTTTACTGTCTGACAGGTCTGCCCATATTCTTGGGGGCGGGCCTGACATCCCCTTCCCCTCTGGCCTTGGCAGGGGAACTGCCCAACTGCCCAGCTCTGACCATTTGTGTCCAATTCAGATCCTGCTCTCTGACAGACCCTGTGCAGTTTGCCCTATGGCAGAGAGCCCTGACCTCTCTGGATGGGTTTGGGGCACTTGGGCCCTGCCCTGCATTTCCAGGCTCCCTTGCCTCCCATCCAGGGCCAGTGAGGCCTGGCCTGTACCCCAGGGTGCAGAGCATCCCTCAAAATGGCCCTGGGGTAAGCCCCATCTGACAGCTGCCCTGTGGGGAAGGGGCCTCCTCTTGGGGAGACTGTCTGGGATGGGCTGGGGGCAGCAGGAGACCAGCTCCTTCCTGGAGCCTCTGCTCCCTCCCCACTGAAGCACCACAGGCCCCTGGCCCTGAGTCCTTGCTGACCTGGGCCCTGCATAGGCTGGTGCTGCTCCTGAAGAGGCCACAGGGGAGCGTGCCCAGAGACATGGAGGAGGGCACAGGAATGTCAAGGCTGGGCATGCTGGCCCAATGCCTGGGCAGGAGGTCACTGCCTGGCCCCAGCCCCTCAGCCTCCTCAGGAATATTATAGTGCTGGGGAGGCCCACTCCTGGGCCCCAGGTCAAGCAGGCCAGACTGATCAGTGGTGCTGGGAGGGGGAGGGCCATTGGGATAGGCGTTCTCATCAAGGACATTTTCCAGAGGGAGCAGCTCTTCAGGGGATGGGGGTGGAGGGAACAGGGCCGCATCCGACTCAGAGGGGATGCCCCCTCCCGGCCACGCCTCTTCAGGGGAGGCTGGGGTATTGTGGTGCAGGCCTGGGGACTGGGCCTCAGCCTCTTGCTGCAGAGGAGAGAAGGGTGGAGGCCTGGGCCTCAGACAGGCCTCATCTAGGTCCTGGCTGTCCTGAGGGGGGGTCCGTTCTGGGCTGCCCAATGGCTGGGGCTCCTGGGGCTGGGGAGAGGGCCCATCTTCTGGGAGCGAAGTCTGCTGACTAGGCATCTTTGGGCTTGGGGAGGGGCTCCTGGTAGGAGCTGCCTTGCCCTGCCCATTGATCACCAGGCCCAGGGAGAACTCCACTCCCAGAGGCTTCTTGGGGAGCTCTTCCACTTTGGCTTCAAGGCAAACAAGACAGTGCACATTTAGACCTAGTCTGGGAGCCCCAGGACTGCCCTCCCTGACAGGTGTGGGAGATGGACTGGGGCCCAGAGAGGGGAGAGTCAGGAGCCCAACCTAGGTGCTAGGACCCCAACTGCCTCATCTAGTGTTTGTGTGTGTGTGTCTGCCTGCCTGTGACCTGGCCCCCAGGAAGAGGAGGAGGAAGGTTCCTGCCTGACTTGGCCCTGACCTGGTCCCACCTGGCTGCCCCCTGGCCCCACTAGGCCATCCCCTGCATGGGCCCTGACAGCCTGGTCCCCTCTCAGAAGTGTAAGAGTGTCCCAGCCTCCAGCCCCCATCCCCAAGCCCACCTGGGGGGGGCAGCTCGCATTTCATCCTGCGCAGTTCAGCCATGGATGCCTGCAAATGATCCAATACAGCATCATCTTCATGGGGCCAGGGGCTGGCCAACTTCTCCTGCAGAAACTCTCTGAGGTCCTCCAGGGACATCTTGAGCAGGCGTTCTGGAGGTCCAAGAGTGGAGGGGGGGGCCAGATGGTGAGCCCCCTGCCCACAGGCTCCCTCTGCTCCCTTCCTGGCATCTGAGCCCCAGGCTCCTGCACAGAGCCTGAGCCTAGTTCTCTCATCCCCCCCTTTACTCACTTGAAAATCCATTCTCTCCCCCCCTCCCCCCCCAAGTCTGGGGAGGGGGTCCATCACCAGCCCAGTCCTTACTCCTGTGCAGCTTGAGAACTGTATAGGCCATGGCGGTGAGAACTCGCTCGCCCTCCAAGATGTACACATCCCACAGGCGCAGGGTGAGGGTGAATGGGGTCTGTGGAAGAGAGGTCAGGCTGAGAAGGTGCCCTGAGGGCGTGACACCATGCCCAGCAGAGCCAGAGCCCAGAGCAGGCCTGGGCTGACCTGATGTTCTCACCCGGTCAATGAAACACTGCAGGAACCACTTCGTGGTATAAATGCCTGTGAACATCTGCTCTTTGTCCTGAAGGGAGACGATGGAGATGGCAGGGTCACCTTTGCCCTGACTGGCAGGCAGCTCCCCTGTGCCCACATGTGCAGCCACCCTGTGCCCGCTGCTGCTGAGCTCACCATGTGTTTTTTCAGCTTGGGCAAGGCCTTCCCAAGGATCTGCTCATGGTGGTCTTGGAAACGCTGCAGCTTGGGGAATCCAGGCACGAAGAAGCCTGTGGGGAGCCCGCCCAGGGCAGAGGGCTCAGCAGCAGCCTGGGGAGAAAGCCCAGGAGCCCCCTCGGGTTCACCCCCTGCCCACGCAGGGCGAGCAGGGTGCCCCTGGGACTGAGCCCCTGGGCATGTCCCTCTATGGGGGCCCCATCTCCTTGACCAAAGAGCCCTATCTCACACAATGCCAGCTGTCTTAGGATCAGCGGTGGCCCTTCCAGCCCATGGAAGCCTCTGGCCAGAGACTCGGGCAAGTCCCTTCCCCCTGCAGCCTCAATGCTGTCATCTGTAGCATGGAGCTAATTCCTAACCTGCCTTGGCCTCTGAGCTGTGGGAAAGCCAGGGAAACAAGGGGTGGGGTGTGACTTCCTGGCTCTGTTTCCAGCAGCTGTGGGGCTGGGGATCCGCCCCCCCCACCCCTGGGGAGGAGGGAGGGTGGGAGTCAGGCGCTCACCATGCATCGCGTGCCTCTGGTTGGCCAGCAGCTGGGCCAGTGCCCAGAAGGCTTCCTCTTCATTCAGGTACATCAGCAGGATGGCGGCGATCTGACTCATGCCCTGGCAATAGCTAACCTCCTGCAGGGGGCGCCCATCCGCCCAGACACACACACACACATGATGGTGTGTATGGGGACTATCTCCCCTCCACAGGCTCTGGGCTGGGAGGAAGCCTCCACCTCAGGGCTCTAGCTAAGTCCTGGGTGTGCAAGGCAGAAACCGACTCCCTGCCTAGGTTTGGACTTGGGCACCAGTGTGCACCTCCCCCAGGACTCACAGAGTGGAATCCCCAGGGGCTGCTGGCACTGAGGCAGGGGCCCACTATGGGCTCCCAGGGCCTGGGCAGGGGGGCCAATGGCCTGCTCTGGGAAGAGCCCAGGCAGACTGAGGCCGAGCGGCTAGTAGGATGCTAGAGCAAAGCCAGTAGGCCCGGCCTGTCCCTGCTAGTCAAGACTTGGGCTGACACCACATACAGCCCCTCTTCCCTGTCCTGCAGCACACACTCATGACCACCCACCTGCCCACCGGCCTGACCACAGGCAGAAGCTCACAATCTCACCGTGTTGTAGACAGAGTAGGCAGACAGGACATGGAACAGGGCTTGCTGCCTGGAGAGAAAGGGGATCCCTGACCATGCTGGGCAGCCTAGAACACACCGGCCACTCAGTAACAAGGGAATCTGCCCCCTTGCCTATCCTCTGGGCTTCCAAGACTATTCTCACTGATACCTGGCTGTCAGAGGAAGGCAGTCAGCAGGTACTGAGACCACAGCCCACAGAGAGGAGGCTCCAGGGAGGCCCCAAGCAGTCAGGGCATGGGGCGAGGGAGGACCCAGCTGGGACATGAGAAGCAGAGGGCAGTAGGAAGATCCCAGCTGGGGCCAAAGCCACCCCTCCCTCCCTGATCCAGCCTCAGCACCCTTCTGCCCTGCTTCCTACCCGAAGGGTCACTCACTTCACTCCATAGCGGTCCCGAAACATGATATGATTGCGAAATGTACGGTTGATGTCCAGGTCAATCTGTCTGATCTCAGAAGAGAAGCTCTGGGCTTTCTCCTTCATCTCCTGTGAGGGGGAAGTGGCAGCACGTCAGAACCAAGCAAAGGGAGGGGAGACTGTCTCAGGAGAGGCCCTGGGCTGGACACCCAAAACCTGCCCCATCCCCAGTCACTGAACAGAGCCAGTGTGGGACCCTTGCCTGGGCTTCCCCCTGCCAGGGTCTTCCTGAGGACCAAGTCCAACAGAGAAGACCTGAGGTTGTGGCCAGGGGGGCCCAGATACTCTGAGGCCAGCACGCCTCCTCTGGCCTAACCCTAAATGCATACTGGCAGCCCTGAGAAGTGGGGCAATACGGCCCAACCCAGGCCAGGCAGCAGAGGCCCCACTCCTTGGGTGGCAGGCCTGACTGGGACAGTCTCTTCCCCTTTCCTTAATGCACTGTCCTGCCCTGTTCCCAGGTGCCTACTCTCACCAGCACCACAGGCTGGCTGTGAGTTCTTGGGGTGTCTGGCCTTGGCTGAGACCTGAGGAATTCTGCCCCAGCTCCAGGGTTGGCTCCCCTGCCAACCTCTTACCCCAGCCCACAATCTGGGGGACTACTCTCTCCCCATCCAGGCTGTGCTCACGGGCTGCCCTCCTTCCCCTCCTTGTCACCATCCTTGGTGACCAACAGGGCACAGCAGAAGCAACAGCTCGAGCCCCACTGGAGACAGGGATCTTGGGAAGTGGGGTGTCCTTTTCTGCCTTTACTGCTGACGGGACCTCAGGCAGGTGGGAGGTGCTTAGTAATCTCGCCTCCCTCACATATCCCAAAGAGGGCTCAGACACATGGATCTTTTCAGAGTCCTTTTAGGAACTGTTCCCTTCCAGGTCGGGGTCCTGGATCCTGATGTTGAGGCCTCCAGGAGAACAGCCCCCTATCAAACACCTGCCCTTTTGCTGCCTCTGAAAAGGGGTAATGGCCCAACCTGACAGGGCTACTGCGGGGCTTTGCCTACCCCACTCAGCAAGCACAGCACATCCTCAGGCCTTCTCAGCATCCCCTCCAAGTACATGCCTTCACACACCCTTGCCCACTCCCTGTGACTGCCTACTTTGTTCTCCATCCAGATCTTTCCATCTCTTCCCCTGCCCTCTCCACCACTACCTGGAAGGCCAATCTGCTCACTCTTCTGCTCAAAAGTCTTCAGGGGCTCCCTACTGCCTCTGAGAAAGTTCAGGCTGCTCTGTGGAAAGCATTCAGTGCTTGCCACCTTACCCTTCTAGATTTGCTTCTTTTTCACTTTGGATGTTTTTGTTACATCCCTTCCTCCCCATCCCACACTACGGAAGGCCATCATTTGACACAGATTTATAAATAGATGTAAAACCATACTATGCACACTTCTATGTATCAGTTCTTTCTCTGACGGTGGACAGCATCTTCCTTCATGGGTCCTTTGGACTTGATTTGACTATGCATAATACTCAGAAGAACTTGGTCGTTCACAATTTTTCTTTGAACAGGATTGCTGTTACTGTACACCATGTTCTCTTGGTTCTGCTCATTTCCCTCTTCATGATTTCGTGCAAGTCTATCCATGCACCATTTTTTACAGCACAGTAGTATTTCATCACAATCATACACCATGACTTGTTCAGCTATTCCCCAGTTCGTGGGCATCCCCTAAATTTCTAGTTCTTTGCCACCACAAAGAGAGTTGCTATAAACATTTTAGAACACATGGGTTCTTTTCCTTTTTCCCTAATCATCTTTGGAAACAGAGCTAGTATTGCTGGATCAAAGGGTTGAGGCAGCTTAAGAACTCTTTGGGCACTATTCCAGATTGCTCTCCAAAATGGGTGAATTAGCTCACAGTTCCACCAACAGTGTATTAGTGCCCTGACTTTTCCACATCCCCTCCAACATTTATTGTTTTCCCTTTCAATCATTTTAGCCAATCTGAATGGTGTGAGATGTTACCTCAAGGTTGTTTTAGTTTGCATTTCTTTAATCAATAATGATTTAGAGCATTTTTATGTGACTATATATAGTTTTGATTTCATCAAAAAAACTGCCTGTTCATATCCTTTGACTATATATCAACTGGGGAATGACTCATATTCTTATAGAAGTGACCACGTTCTCTACATATTTGAGATATGAGGCCATTATCTGAGAAAGTGTCCCTGAAATTTCCCCCCAATTTTCTGCTTTTCTTCTGATCTTGGTTACATTGGTTTTATTTGTATAAACCCTTTTAAAATTAATGTAATTGAAATGATCCATTTTTCTTCCCACAGTGCTCTCTGTCTCTTGTTTATTCATAAATTGTTTGCCTATCCATAAGTCCGAGAGGTGATGTGTTCCATGTTCTTCTCATTTTCTTAGGATATCTCCCTTTATGTCAAGGTCATGGATCCATTTTGACCTGATCCCAGTAATTTGTTTCTTATTACATCTGCCCCTCCCATGCTCTCCTCTCCAGTTTTACTGGCTGCTCTCTCAGCCCTGGTCTGCCTGTACCCCAAGCTGAGATCTTTGTTCAGAGTAGGTGCCTCCTGTTTAGAGATGGAGTTGGCTTCCACTGGACAGAATCCATGCCCAGTCTTCTGCTTGGGCAGTTTCCTGGGCCAGCCCTGCCAATCCTTCCAATCCCAGCTGCAGACACTGCCTCCAGGAAGCCACCCTGAGCTCTCATTTAGCCCTTCTCTGATGTGTCTCCCTGGGTCTCTCTTCCCAACTCTTAGGTTAAAGTCTAAGCTCAACTGTGGTTCTTCCCCAACCTCCCTTGGCCCTTGACAAAGACTTGTTGAATGTTGACTGATTGAGGGTGACTCCCTCACCTGGAGGGTGGCATTAGTACAACACTGGGGACTGGGGCGGGGGGGGGGACTAGGATCTGCTAGTCCAGGATAGAGGAGGGGGCCCTGAGGTGGGTGGACTCTGTGTGAGTCCACTACTAACTCGATGTGTGTAACCTGGGCAGGTTGCTTGGCCTCTGTACCTGTTTCCTTATCAGGAAAAAGGGGATAATAACTGTGCACTCCCCACCTTCCGGGGTGGTAGGAGGGAGGGAAGGGAGGAAGCATTTATTAAGCACCTACTATGTGCCAGGCACCACAGTAGGCATTTGACAAATATCTCATTTCATCTTCAGAACAGTCCCGGGAGGGAGGGGCTGTTCCCCGTACAGTTGAGGAAGTTGGTGACTTGCCTAGGTGGGAAGGAATACTGTGGCTTCCTCAGCATCTGAGAGGATGGCTGGGGGTAGGGCGGACTCTTCAAGGCTTAGCCCAGAGGAGGTCTGGGGAGGCCTGAGAAGGCCCAGGGCAGAGGTCAAGCCAGACAGTGCCTGGATTAGGGGCTGCAGGCTGGGGTCTGGCCTCTGAGCCCAGCCTTGTTCACAGGGCCCACTGGCCAGCTGGGAAGGTGGCCCCCAACACTGATGCCCACAAACGGGGCAGCTGCCTACTCTGTCACCTCCAGCCCAGAACATGCCAGATGACAGAGACCACGAGGATCATGGGGGGGCAGAAGCTGGCAATGGTTCCAGGGCTAGGACAGCCTCCTACCTCATACTTGCCAGGGTTTTCTGTCTTCACTTTCTCCACTTCCAGGAGGAGGGACCAGGCTTGGCCCCGCACCTGCAGGGGGATGCCCTTGTAGACCCTTCGAGCCATCTGAGTGGGGAGAGGAATGCAGGCTGAGGGAGGGCATCGGCCTTGGCGCTGGAACCCACTGACCAAGCAGTCCCATATGGAAGGACAGAAGCCCTGGTCCCCTACCCCCAAAAGGAGGGCTCTACCACCAGCCTGCACGGACCCGGCCCCTCCTTTCCCCTTGTGTCTCATCCTCATTCGGACTCCACCTCCTCCAGGGAGCCCCCTGCTTCACAGCTTCCCCACTGGTCAGTCTGCTCTCTGGTGTACTCTCTCCTCCACCACAGGCCAGTGTTCACTACCCACATCCACTCACACATTCACCAACCCACATATACAACACCTCCAAAGCCATACACTCAGCTACATCCCAACCTACACAGACACCCCCACACCATAAATACATCCATACTCACACCTATCCCCCCCCAAGACATCCCAGTGTGAGGCCTTTTCTAAGCATTCCTTCTCTGTCACCAGCACCCAGTGCAGGGCTGTAGGACTCATCACATAGTAGGTGCTATGAAAGTAGCCCCAGGAGAAGAGTGGGGAAAATCCATGTCCCTCCCTTCACTGCAGAAGTAGGGGTGAAGGAGTGTGGCTGTGAAATGCCATCTACACATTGGCTCCTCTCACTGCCTTTTAAAATCTGTTAAAATCTCTGATAACAAAGGATGGCTCACTAGGGCAGGAGAGGGAGAAAGATAGCTTCAGAATGAAAGGCATCAACAGAGAGAAAATGGAAAATGAAAAAGGAGGGGGTGCCACTAGCCCAACCTTAAAACAGCATCTCCAGTGATCCAGATGGCTCTTTTGCAGGAGGCTTCCAATGGGGCTCTTTATAAGATTCTGGGAGCCCATTGCAGATCCAAGCGGAGTCACCAACTTCACCTCCTCCCTGTCCCTCAGCCCCTCAGCCAATCTTGGCCAAGTCCTCTTGGTTTCCCCCCATCCATCCCCTTCTCTCCACTCCCTCAGCTCGGGCACCAGCCATCTCTTGCCCGGGTCAGCTTTCTGATGACTTTCCCTGTCTCCACGTCTAGCTTCCCAGCCATAGTCCCCCTTCATGCCCTCATTGTAGATAAACTAACTGACTCATTGCTCCCTGAAGCTAACATTCCTTCTCCTATCTTTATGCATTCATGCAGGCCTATTCCCCTCATAATCTCAAACTTCCTTCAAGGCTCAGCTCTGGGGCCACCTCCTCTGGGAAGTCTTCCCTGATGCCTCCAGGAGTTCATCCTCTGTCCCTGCCTTTCTAGAGGCTCTCTCCCCCCCCCATCCCACCAAAGAGAAGGGAGGGATAATCTCACTGTTGTCCCTGTATCCCTAACATTTAGCACAGTAGGAGTTTAATAAAGATTTGATTAAGAGGGAAGGAAGGAAGAAGGAAAAGAGGGAGAGGAAAAATGAATGAAAAAGTCATAGTAAGTGTGTGGGACAGAAAGAGACAGAGAGACAGGGATAGAGAGAGGCAGGGACAGACATGCCCATACCCACACAGGGGTGGGGGCAGGGAGAAATACCCAATGGGCAGGTCAATCAGTGAAAGTGTGTAGGAGGGTGTAGTCAGTCCGGTAAAGTAGCAAGAACCTTGTGCCTGAGGACTTCCTGGTCAAAGTCAGTTAACAAACATTGATTAAGCACCTACTATATGACAGGCACTGTGCTAAGCTCTGAGGATAGAAAAAGTAGTAAAAAATAGTACCTGCCCTCAAGGAGCTCACAATCTAATGGGGAAGACTATACGCAAACAACTGTGTACACACAAGCTGTAGACTGGATAGAATGGAGATAACAGAGGGAAGGGGCAGGAAGCTTCTTGCAGAGGTGGGATTTTAGCTGGGAATCCAAAACAGCCAGAAAAGTCAGTAGTCAATAGATGGAGAGTGCTCCAAGCAAGGGGGTCAGCCCGAGATGAAGAGTCTTGTTTGAGGAACTGCCAGGTGGCCATTGTCACTGGATCAAAGAGAATGTTGGGGAGTAAGGTAAAAGAAGTCTGGAAAGGCAGGAGGGAGCAGATCACGAAGGGCTTTAAATGACAGATAAGTTTGTATTTGCTCCTGGAGGTAACAAGGAGCCACTGGAGTTCATTGAGTGGGGATGGGGTTGTGGTGACGTGGTCAGACCTACACTTTAGGAAAATCACTTTGATGGCTAAGGGGAAGATGGACTGGAGTGGGGAGAGATCTCAGGCAGGTGTAACCCCCCCAGGAACTACTGCAATAATCCAGGCATTAGGAGATGAGGGTCTGCACCATGGCTGGGGGCAGTGTCAAAGGACAGAAGGGGATGTATTGGAGAGATGTGGCAGGGATGCAATTGACCAGAGATGCGGAAGAGGTGAAAGCTACCAGAGATATGGCAGGGGTGAAATGGACCAGAGAAATGGCAGGGAGGTGACAGCAACCAGAGATGTGGCAGGGGTGAAATGGACCAGAGATGTGGCAGAGGTGAAATCACAGGCCTTGTACCATATTGGATCTGGAGGGTGAGAGATAGTGAGGAGTCCAGGGTGACTCCTAGGTTGGGAACCTGAGAAGTGGGAGGAGGGTGCTGCCCCTTGACAGTGATAGGGAAGGTTGGGGAGGGGGGAGGCTTAGGGGGTGAGATGATGAGTTCTGTGTTATAAATATTGAATTTGAGATGTCTACTGGCAGTTTAACATGTCTGAAAGGCAGTTGGAGATATGAGACTAGAGGTCAGCAAAGAGATTGGAACAGGAAAGTTAGATTTGAGAATCATCATAGACATAGAAAGTAATTAAATCCATGGGAGTGCATAAAATCACAGGTGAAGGAGTAGAGTGGTAGAAGAGCAGAGGGCCCAGGACAGAACCCCAAGGAACACCTGCAGTTAGAAGGCATGGCCTGGAGACGGATCCAGCTAAGGAGATTGAGCAGCGATGGTCACAGAGGGAAGAGGGGAGCCCGGATCCAGGAGAAGAGAGTGATCACCAGTGTCCAAGGCTGTAGACAGGCCAAGAAGGATGAGGATTAGGAAAAGGCCATTGGATTTGGTAATTAGGATAAGTAATTTTGGAGAACACCGTTTCGGTGGAATGGTTAGGTTGGAAGCCAGATTACAAGGGTTTAAGAAGAGAGTGAGAGGAGAGGAAAGGGAGGTGCCCAGTGTAGATTCAGCCTTCTTGAGGTGTTTAGCCACCAAAAGGCAGGAGAGATATAAGAGAGTGGTGGTGGAAGGGTCAAGTGACGGTTTTTCAAGATGGGAGAGACATAGGCAGGCAGGAGGGAAATAGCCAGTAGACAGAGAGAGATTGAAAATGAGGTGGGGGGAGATGGGGGGAGGATGACAGAAGAGGGTGTCTATCATTCTCCAGGATGGAAAGGAGCAGCCAGGATGGTGAGTGGTGTCAGAGGAATTGGTAGAAGACATTCTCCGACTGTTTGAAATGTGAAGAGAGTGGGTTGCTGGGGCTTTGGGGTGCCCCAAAGTCCTTGTGCTGGTCCCAAGCGGGCTGTGTCCCCACACGCAGGGGTAGTGATGGCAAAGCAGCCGGGGAGCCTGAGTAGGCTGTGCCCAGGGCCAGTGAGAGTGAAGAAGGTAGCAAGGGAGGGAACCCAGCTGTCATGGGCTCCGAGCTCAGGGGCTTTCCCTCCTCTTACCTTCTCACTATTGTAATATTTATCCCACTTCTTCAGCATCTTCAGCCACTTGCCTACCCGCTCGATCTCCTGGAGTTTTTGCTGAAAAATGAAGACCCAGAGCACCCTCAGAATTGAAATTTCCCAGAGAAGTACATTGTCTGTGCCTGATACCCCTGGACAGCTGGAAACTAGCAGGGTCGAGCAGCTACCCACATGGGGAGGGGCCCTGGCAGACCTGCAGGAGAGTCATCCCTCTGCTCGGGCTCTGCTCTGTTTCCCTTTCCAGCTCTGCCCACCCCCTGGTGACTCCCAAGTACACACCTGGTACAGGGGAGTTACCACTGCAAGGGTAATGCCAGATAGATGGAATCATGGAGGAGGGAATGAGATGGAAAGAGAGAGGAGGAGAGACACTGGAGGGAAAGGAGATGGAGAGAAGAGAGAAAGGAGGAGGGAGGAGAGGGAGAGGAAAGAGAGAAGGACAGAAAGGAGAAGGGGAAAAGGAGAGGAGGAGAGAGAGATGGTGGGGGTGGGAGAAGGGAAGAGAAGAGAATGGAGCACTGTGCTTGCCTCGCTGGAAGGTAGACCCTCCTTTTCACACCCCTCCCCTCCCCCTCCCCAGCACCCTTGATGTTCAGCCCACCTCCTGCCTTTGGGGACGGGGGGGGGGTGGTGGGGGTCCCAGAGGGAGGCTTCTGATCTCCTTCCCCAGCTCAGACCCTGTGGCCCCCATAGCTGGCTCTTACCTTCTCCTCCAAGGCACTGTGGCTTGGCAGTTCACTCTCACTGGGAGGGCAGAGGAAAAAGGCGGTGAGGAGGAGGAATAGAAAGGTCTGACGCATCCCGTCCCAAAGAAGGAGGGCTCTAAAGTCAAGGGGCCCTATGGCCTTGGAGCTAGTGGAGCAGCCCTGTGGCCCAGAGGTTAGAGCGCTGGACTGAGAGTCGGGAAGACCCAGGGTCACCAAACACTTCATATGACCACTAGCTCTGGCACCCTAGCAACTGCTTTCCTCTTTCTGGGCCTCAGTCTCCTCATCTCTAAATTTGGGGGCTGGCTCCAAGGTCCCTCCCAGCTCTCCATCTGTGACCCTGAGTTCCTATGGATTGCAGATCCTGGACATGCCAAGCACCTCAGGCCAGTGAGGTGCCTCCAGTGGCCTCCCGGCTCCCCTGCCTGCATGACCGTGGGGTGCATGGGGGCGGGCAGAGGGACAGCATCACAATACTCACTGCAGAAACCCAAATCTGTCTGTGACTTTGTAGAGGGCAAAGTCTGCATCCTCCCAAGGGTCAATCTGAGCTCCATGCTGTCTGCCCTGCAAGGAGAGGGGGGCTCAGGGGACATGGTGGGAGGACCTGGGCCCTCTGTGCTGTGGGGCACCTCCTGTCTCCTCTTCTCCCTCCCCGAGTCATAAAGGAAAGTCCTAGCACCAGGATGGGGGAAGCCAGCTCTACCCACTCCCGGCCTTTCTCGGGAATCTCGGCTGCCCTGTCCAGTTCAGTGAGGGCTAGCCTCAGGCCTGCCAGCTGGCCCCCAGATCCCTGAGCCTGGGAGTGCTGCAGAGAGAAGCATGTGGTCCAGACAAACGCCCCTCTACTCAGGAGGACAGAAGTCAGGCACCGGATGTCTGCCCAGCCAGGAAGTGGGGGTGAGAATGGGTAAGAGGAGGAAGGGAGTGAGCACGGAGGAAGGCCCCAGGGCTCCCCACAGACAGGTCCTTACCTTCTGGTACCTGGCAATGATCTCAGCTCTTTCCTCTGCTACCAAAGCCTCAATGTCTTTCTTCATGTCCGGAAAGGGGAGGTGAGAAAAGCCCCCCTCCCCTGCTCTGTGCTCACAGGCACCCCTGCAGCAGCAGCAGAACAAGGAAGAGAAGAGAGAAAAGAGATGAGAAGAGAAGGGAGGGGCGGAAAGAAGGGGAGAAGGGAAGGTGGGGGGGGGAGAAGAGGAGAGGAGAGGAAAGGGGAGGAGAGGAGAGGAGAGGGGAGGGGAGGAGAGGAGAGGAGGGGGAGGGGAGGAGAGGAGAGGAGAGGAGAGGAGAGGAGAGGAGAGGAGAGGAGAGGAGAGGAGAGGAGAGGAGAGGAGAGGAGAGGGGAGGGGGGAGGAGAAGAGAGGAGGGGAGGGGGGAGGAGAGAGGAGGAGAGGAGAGAAAGGGAGGGAGAAGGTTAGGGAGAAGAGAGGAAGATGCATGATGTGGGGCTGGTGCAATAGGCAGAATTGGTGCTCAAGCCCACAACGAAATAACAGTATGACAGATAACATTTATGTGGCACCTACTGTGTTCCAGGCACTGTGCCAAGCAAAATTATTATCTCCTTTGATCCTCACAACAACCCTAGGGGGGGAGGTGCTGTTATTTTCTCCATTTTACAGATGAGGAAACAAGGAAGGCAGAAGTTACATGACTTGCCCAGGGTCACCCAGCCAGGAAGTATCTATGGGTGCATTTTAACTCAGGTCTCCCTGACTCTAGACCCAGTGCGCTAGCCACTGTGGTGCCCCCTAGCTGCCTCTGAATGCTGACGGGATCAAGTTCAAACCCCTTTTCCAAATGAGGAAACTGAGGCCCAGAGAGAAGGGCAGTCATTAGGTGGGCGGCAGCACTGTTGAGGCCAGGGCATCTGCCTCCAGCTGCTACTCACATTCTGAGCTAGTTGGCTCAGCTGGTGCCTGGGGGGAGGGAGGAGTGGTGTGGCCAGGCTGGGCTGCTGCAGGTGTGGGGGGGGACATCCTCTACCCTCAGACTCAGGGCTGGCCTTGCCCCAGGGAGGGGGGGCAGGGCATGAGGCAACTCCAAATGCCCAGTGGGGGTGCAACTACAGGCGAGGCCACCAAAGTGAAGGCCTCGGCCCTGGCTGCGCCAGCTGGGTGGCCCATGATCCTGGGCCAGCTGCGGGCAGGGGAGCCTGGGGACACACAGGGAGAATTCCTGGGTAGGGGGAGCTGGAGCTCGCTGCTGCTTGGGTTTCATTCTCAAAAAGGACCATGACATGAGGGAGGTCTTCTCCAGGGCCATCTCGGATCAGGACGACTGGAGTTTCTTCATCTGCAGAAGGGGCTGAACTAACTCAGGAGCCGGGATAGGGAAGCCAGCCCCTGGCCAAAACAGAACCCACATGCTGAGGCTGCAGAGGTGAAGGTGGGAAGGGGAGCTCCGGCCCCAGTGGGCCTCTTACCTGAGCAGGCCTTGGGCAGTCTAAACACATCCAGACAGTGCCCTCAAGCTACCAGACAGGAGGGCCCATGGCCCTCCCTCGGGCCTGGGAGTCCATGTCAGAGTACCAGCCCCCAGGGGGCCACTCTTGCCATCAGCATCCCTGGCCGGGTCCTGGGCATGGTGCATGGGTCAGGTGTGTGTGAGGCCAGAGGTCAGTGGGGCCCAGGCCTTGTGCCCCTCTGTCCTCCACCCAGGGAAGGAGGACCAATGCCCGTGCTGCCCTCTCCTCTCGATGCTCACTGCCCACATGCAGACGTCCTTCCGTCGTCCCCACTCACTGGAAGGAGAGATGCCAGAGAGGAGGGAATTGAGCTGGGAAGATGACCAATGTCCCCTGCCCATGTGCCCCAGCGCCCACCCACTGCGAGCTGCCCAGTCCTCAGGGTGGATGGATGTCTAGATGGATAGACATCACCCTGTCTGAAACAAACCACCAGGGAGAGACACTCAGAAAGAACCCTGCCACCAGCTCCTGAGGGGACCTTGGGCATTCTACTTCCCGTCTCAGTTTCCCCATCAGTGAAATGGCTGATTTCCTCCAGCCTTTCTAGCATCCACTTCAGGGCTCTGGGGAGGACCTTCCCTGGGCCAGTGGCTGAGAGCCCTGGGATGCCCCAGCAGCAGTGCCTCCAACCGGGCCAACCCTGGCCCAGTGCCCCACTGGCTGGGCCAGACAGCAGGATGGGCTATGATTCCTGTCCACTCAGGGCCCCGACAGCAGCCAGTCAGCTGAGCGCATGCTTCCCTGGGTGCACATCATCTTGGAGCAGAGCAGAGCAACAACCCTGGGGGCCCGGAACTGCCAGGAGGTTCTCCCCATTGTACAGGTAAGGCAGCTGATGCTCTGAGCACCCAAGTGATCTGCCAGGATTAGAGGGGGGATGGGGGGTGACCTCTTCCATGTTTCTGGGCCTCCCAGATGCAAGGGCAGGAAAACAGATGACAGTTGGTGTCACGACAAGAAATGTCATAAATATTATTAATAATAACAATGGCATTTCTACGGTGTTTCAAGTACTATCATCAGCCCATTCTACAGATGAAGAATCTGAGGCAGGCAGAGGTGAAGTGAGTTGCCCATGGTCCCATGCAGCACACAAATGTCTAAGGCTGGATTTGAACTCAGGTCCAGCATCTGTCTCTCCACAGGGCCATCCACTGCCCGGGGGCTATGCTCCTCCCCTCACTGGGCCCCGGCTAGTAAGGGTAGAAGAGCTGGAGGACCAGGCTTGAGGCCCTTCTTGAACCACCCCCGGAAACCCTGGAAAGTCTAGGAGAACTCTGGTCCTCAGTGTGGCTGGAGCCCACGGGGAGGATCTACTAGGGTGGGCCTTATCAAGCCAGGGTCACCTCCTGCCCCCTGGTCCCCAAGCCGGCCATTCCTCCAGGTAGTCCTGCCTGGCGTATAGAAGAGGTGACTGCCATGCCACTGGGGCCTCGGCATCTCCCCAAGGGCTCACCTACGACATGGTGAAACTTCCATGCTGTGCAGCCAGGAGAGCTCAGGGGGAAAGAAATGGGGGAGGCCAACAGGAAAGGGTGGGGCCCATGGAAGGACGAGGGTGGGTCTGAAGTGCAGACCCAGGGCAGATGACAGATGGCAGGCAGGAGACCCAAGGCCCAGGCCCAGGAACCACATCTCCATGCCTGCTTCCCCTTCCTCAAGATTCCTGATTCCTGAATCCCATAAAATCCCTGGTTCTAGAGGCTGTGCCCCTTGGGCAGTGGGCAGAGTACTTACTGAGGAGGACGAGGACCTGGGAAGTTGGGATGGGGCTCTCTGCAATTCACTGCCTGGCTAGACTCTGGCCAGGTCCTTTACCTTAGCACCCTCTGACAAATGAGCTGGTTGGGCTGGCTGAGTGCCAAATCCCAATCTGTTTTGGGGTTCTGAGCACTGGCCGAAGCTAGAACCACAGGACCGGGTCGTCTCCTGTGGCACCGGCCCAACCCTGAGCCGGACTCCTGCTGCTGGAAGCTCACACCAGGATGGCTCCTTCTGGGGCCTGGCTCTTCAGCCACCTTTTATAGTATCCATCGTCCCTTGTGATGGGGCTGAGTTCATCAGAGAGTACCCTGTGCAAACACATCACCTTCTTTAGGCTCCCTACCTTTTCATCTTCATCAGACTTGTGGGACTCGGGGCTTGCCAGCCCTTGAGAGATCTTTAGATGTTTATGGGGTCATGCTTGCCATTCCTCCGAACTTTTAGAAATCTGTATTTCTGAGAAGATTGTCCATCCAGTGGAATAGAACAGATGTGCTCCGAGGCCCCTGCCTTAATGCTTTTGTGGAGAGATGAGACCTGATATTGCTCCTTGTTTGATCCATTTCAATTGAATAAGGGTTTATTAAGCCCCTACTGAGTGCAAAGTTCTGTTAAAGAATGTTCAACAGCACAGATCCCTGGGGCACTCCGCTCTAGATCTCTCTCAGCTATAACATCAAACTATGACTAGTTTTTGGGTCCAGCCATTGAACAAGTTCTGAATCTACCAGCCTAGTAACCCTATCTAAAAAGGAAGTAAGGTTAGTGTGACATGCTGTGTTTCTGATGAAGCCACACTGGCTCTTTGGGATTGCTGTTTCCTTCTTCAAAAATTCCATTTTTGTGTTTTCTCTGATTTCATTTCCCAAATATGCTCACTCTCCTCTCCTAGCCAGAGAGGCTTCCCTTGTAACAAAAAACTAAAAGGAGAGGGGAAAGAAGGCCCTTGCCCATTGCGCCACCTCACCAAATCTCTGGTCACAGTGCCTGGCTTGCAGATTTCAGATTCCATTCTCTTCCACTCTTCTGTGCTCTGGGATAACTTCCTCCAGTTCAGCCATGCCTGTCTCATTCACCAATATGATCTTTCAGGATCCCTGATGGGCTCAGATACCACTGCGGGCAGTTCTTTCAGGGCCTAAGGATGGGGTTCCCCACCTGGGGCAGCCGGGCATTCTCTTCCCAGCTCCCTGGGGCTTGTTAGGCATCAACTCTCCAAACGTTAACCATCTGTCTGGCCTTTATGAAAGCCTTTATTAAGTGTCTGCTGTGTACTATCTCTCCCAGAGGAGGAGGCAGTGGCAGAGAAATTATACAAAGACCTTCCTGAGATGAAATTCACAGACACTTTGACACTCCACAACTTCCATGGGGATCAGTCACACGATGCTTTGGCATGGTGAACGCTTTCTTAGAAAAAAGGACTGGCAGGTCCATGGATGGGGGGTCACCCCAAAGTCACTCTGTGTAGTCTCACACTGACTTGTCAGAGCAGTCAGTTAGAAAAACAAACATATTTATTAAGCACCAAAGGTGTGCTAGGCACTGAGCTAAGTGCTGGGATGCAAGGAAAGGCGAAAGAAAGTCCCTGACCTCCAAGAGCTCATAGTAGAATGGTGCAGGCAGGGCAGGGATGGGGGGTAGGCGGGGGGTGGGAGGGATGACAACAGGCAAACATTTTGGTACAAATAAGGACAGATGGAAGACGATCAGTAGAGGGAAGGCCTAGATTTAAGGGGGGCTTGGGAAAGATGTCCTATAGAAGGTGAGCTTTTAGCTGAGACTTAAAGGAAGCCAGCCAGCAAAGACTAGGTAGGAAGGACAGCCAGCGCAAATGCCTGGAGGTGGGAGATGAAATGTCTTGCTTAGGAAGGGCAAGGAAGGACAGTGTTACCAGACCACAGAGTACATAGGAGGGACTGGGGTGTGTCAAGTTAGAAGGGAAAGTTGTGAGAAAAGTCTCAAGTGTGGAATCGAAACAGCTTGACCTTGGGCTCTAGTGACCCTGAAAAATGGGTGGGACACAGGGAAATGACACTGACACCAGCCACACAGAAGAGGTAAAATCAATCGCCACCCCAAGAAAAGCCGAGGGGAGAGAGCTGATGGCCACAGGCATCCCTGCGTTAGCATGTCACTGGGATATTGTGTTAAGGATGATTGGATAATAGTCAAGCAAATGAGGATTGGTCAGGTGCCCACTGTGTGCCAGGCCCTGGGGGAACCAGGCTCTGCCCTCAGGGGAGATTCCCTTCTATGGGGACCTGTACACAAAAGAAATAGGGTCATGGTTGGGGGAGGGGCATAAGCAGCAGGGAGACCACCTGCAGGTGAAACCAGAGATTGTCAGAAGTGGCGGTTCATGTCCAATGGCGAGCCTAAGAGAGGCCACGGACAAAAGGCACACACGACAGGCGTGGATCTGCATCACCGGAGGGAATGCCCACCTCGATGAAACTGCACCTCCTCCAGACTGCCTAAGTTAATTTCTACTCTGCCCTGGATTTTGGCAATATTTCCCAAATGAATGAAAGGGTGAATAAAGCACTTATTAAGTGCTTGTGGTATACAAAGCACTGAGAATCAATGCAAAAGTAGAAAGCCATTTGGCAGAAATGAGTCTCAGACCAACATCTTACACTCCACTCCACAATGCATTCTAAATGGATACAGGACGTTAATATTAAAAGTCACACTGTTAAAAAATAAGAAGAGAAACAAACCATTTATCTCTCACAGCTATGGGTAAAAGGGGTATTCTTGATAAAAAAAAAAAAGAGGCAATTACAAAAAATAATTTTGATTACTTGAAACTAAAAAGCTTCTGCATAGATATAATATTAATGCACCTAGGATAAAAAGGAAGTGGTCAAATGGGAAAACAATCTGTGTATTAAATTTCTCTGATAAGGTTTTGGTATTCAGAATATGTAACAATTTATAATATACATAAACACATATATGACTCAGGGATATTCCTCAATAGATAAGTGGTTAAAGGATATGAGCAAACAGTTCTCAAAAGAAGACCTGCAGAGTATTCACGACCACAAGAAAAAAATGCTCCAAATCACTTATGATAAGAAACAACCCTGAGGTTTTACCTCACACCCTGAAATTCAGCAAAAATGAGAAAAAATGGCAATAGTCAATGTTAGAGGGATTCAGGAGGGATAGACACTCTAATACATTGTTGGTGGAACTATGAATCCATATAACTATTTGGAATTATGTAAATAAAGTGACTAAATGTCCCTGCCCTTGACCCAGAGACTCCTTTACTGGGCTTATAACCTAATGCTCTATATTGTGCTAGCTGGCCCAGTGAATAGGATACCAGGCCTGGAGCCAGAAAGACTCATCTTCCTGAGTTTAAATCTGGCAACAGACACTTACTAGCTGGGTGACCCTGGGCAAGTCACTCTACCCTGCGTGCCTCAGTTTCCTCATCTGTAAAATGAGCTGGAGAAGGAAATGGCAAACCACTGCAGTATCTTTACCCAGAAAACCCCATATGGGGACACCAAGAGTCAGACGTGACTTCAGCGACTAAACGACAACAAACGCTCACCAGGCACACCTGGACTGAGTGTGTCCTGGAATGTACCAAGATTACATACTGCTGTAGATACCACTCCAGGGCCAATGCGCCCCAAAACAAAACTCGTAATCTTTCTCCCCAAATCCTCTCCACTCCTGAATTTCCCTAACCTTTGCTGACTTCTAATTTCTCATCTCCAATTGCCTTTTAGACATCTTGAACTGGATGTCCAGTAGACATCTTAAACTCAGCATGTCCAAAATAGAACTTACTATCTTTTGCCCTAAGCCCTTCCCTCTTCCTACCTTCCCTATTACTGTAGAGGGCAATACCATCCTCCCAGGCCTCAGGTTTACATCCTAGACATCATCCTGGATTCTGCACTCTTTCTCAACTCTCCACCCCCACCCCATATCCAAACTGCTGCCAAGGTCTGTCAGTTTCACCTCTGCAGCATCTCTCCTTGATTTCATCTCTGCAACATCTCTTGTCTATTTCAACTCTGCACCATCTCTTATCCATTTCACCTCTGCAGCATAGATTTCCTCTCTGCAGCATCTCTTGTAGATTTCACCTATGCAACATCTCTCATCCATTTCACCTTTGTAGCATTTCCCATAGATCTTACCTCTGCAGCATCGCTCATCCATTTCAGCTCTGCAGCACAGATCTCACCTCTGCAGCATCTCCCATTGATTGCAGTATCTTTCCAATAAGCCCTCTTCTCTCCTCTGACACTGCCCCTACCCTGGTGCATGCCTGTATCCCTAACACCTGGATTATTATAATATGCTGCTGGGGGGATGGATCTGCCTGCCTCAGTCTCTCCCCCTCTAGTCCATCCTCCATTCAGCTGCACTAAAGTGATTTTCCTAAAGCACCATGTCACCATGTCACCCCTCCTCCCCCCAACTCAAGAATCTCAATAACTTGTTATTTAAAAACCTTTCATCATCCATCACTAATCTCCCCACATGACTCCCCTTCACTCGCTCATTATATGATCCAACCACACTGCTCTTCTTGTTCTGCAACACAACACTCTATCCCCCATGCCTGGAGTGTACTCCCTCCTCACTTCCACTTCTCATGTCACCTACATGAGGCCTTCCCGAATCCCCCTCCACATCACCTCCTCTAGGAGGCCCTCCCTGACTTACTTTATTTGATATTTCTGTGCATGTGTTATTTTCCTCAGTAGAACATAAGCTCCTTGCAGGCTCTGGTACCTTGGGCCTGGCACACAGCAGATGCTTAATAAATGCTTGCAGGCTCCAGATAAGAGTGGACCAGTGACTGGAGGCTCTACCTCACTGCTCTGGTGGGCAATGATGGCAGAAGGCAATACCACCAGTTGTTGGAGAGACCCCAGAAGAGGGCAGGCAGGCAGTGGCACTAGTGCACTGCTGGTAGAGCTGCAAGTTGGGTTAGCCCATTGGGAAACAGTGGGGAAGCATAATTTTAAAAAGGGGAGGGGGCTACTATCCAGCTCTGAATTCTTGGACCCAGAGAGGCCCATAACCCAAGGAGGGCAAAGACAGGGAAATGGGTCTGGTAGAAACACCCATATTGATTTACAGCAGGGTATAGCAAAGGACCAAAAGCCAAGTGGGGAATGTAGAAACAAACTGGTCCAGGAGAGTGAGGGATGACTGCTGTCCTGTAAGAAGTGACAAATATGGCAGACTCAGAGAACTTAAGAAACACATGCTTGTAGTGGTACAGAGGGAAGAGAGCAGAACTGGGGAGACAACTTATATCAGAAAAGAAAACTCCATTCCAATAGGTGGCGGACAACAAGTGTGCAATGAGGTATACAACGTCAGACATGGCAAATGTGTCCATTGGTTTGACTGGACGAATTTATTATAAGGGAGGGTTCTATGGGGGGAGGGGTCTAGAAGAGGTGGGTCAGAGGGAACAAAGACAAACCATTCCTGGATGACCTGTTCTGGGAACAGACAAAAAGGTTCTGAGAGAGGAAAGCCCCACAGCCTAGCCTACCTCTTCCCCAGACCCCAGAGAGCCTGGTGTTGCAGAGAAATTGGGGAAGGAAGCGGGCAGGAAGAGACAAGCATGTTTCTTCGGGTCAGGTATAAGCTTCCCCAACTGAGGAAGGACTGCCAGCCTTGGAGGCTAGGATGGGCTAATCTCTTCCATAAAGAACAGGAGGTATTTGTGGTCACATAAGTCCATGGTTCTGAGGACACTGGCCAGGAGGGGTTGTCCCCTGCCAGGCATAGGGGACCACAATACAGAAAAGGAATCTGGCTGGGGTGGTGATGATGGGGGCTTAGATGCCTCTAAGCCAAGGCAGGGAGGCCCCTTCTGAATCTCAGGTGGGATTCAGAGCAAGGACTGCAGCCCCCTCATTTTACACATGAGGAAACTAAGAAGTAGGGAGGAGTAGTGACTTGTCCAGGTTCATAGAGCTAGGAAGGGTCTCAAGCAGGATTTGAACCTGGGTCTTCCTGACTCCAAGTGCAGTGCTCTATCCACTGTACTACACTGCCTCCAACCATGAGAAGTGGATTTTACATCCAGCTCCTCTGACTGTAAGCATGTCCCATGCTCTCCACACCCAGGCAGGCTGCCCACAGTCTGAAGGCTTTAGGGCAGACTAACCTCTGGCAGAAAACCTAACCAGGACATCCTGTCCCTGCAGGGTGGGTGGGCCAGGCCCATGCTTCTGCCTGAGCTCTGAGGCTTGACAGCAGGAGGTCCAAGCTAGCTTGCAGATACTGGGTCTGTTCATATGTGTGTGTGAACACATCTGTGTGGGTGTGGCCATATGCCAGTACTAGGGGTACTGCGGGCATGTGGGTGAGCCTCCCAGTCACAGATGTCAGACTGCAGACTGCCTGCTCAGAGCATGCAGTAGGTGCTCATGAAAGGTCTGTGGGACCATTGATGGGTACTTGAATGAGAATCCCGCCATTAGCAGCCATCTAGGTCTGCCTAGGATCCTGCAGTGGCAGGGACCTCAGAAGGCTGCCTGCTCCAGGTGGTGGCTAGGCCTGCTGCTAGGGTGAACATCCTTCCCTTCTGCCTTCCAATGGGCTCTGGGA